GAAAACTCTGCTGATCACAGAACCACGGGGGGGGGTTCTGCCTCCGCTAAATGAAAAATGATTTCCCGCTTTTAAAAGGCGGGTGGCGGGATCAGGGGGGGGGGTGTTGTCTCTCAGAGCTGAATTTCTTTACTTTCTGGTGGCTGTGGTAACAAAAGCAGCAGAATAGACTAGAATAGACAGAATACGTTAAGGAGGTTGGTGGGAGGGGGGTGTTACTGAACTATAACACTATGGACAGAGCCCACACACCCCTATGACACAGAGGAGCGTGAGAGGGGGATACACCCCCCCCTTCACATCCCTGATCATTTTCAGACTATCCGATACACCCTCACAAACCACAGTGGTTGAGACAGCAATGTTAAAATATTAGGATTTGTTTTCTGACTATCTTTAGAGGTCTTGTTTCTGAGTAGTTCCAATCATTTTTAACACGTTTAGTTTTCTGATAAAGTGTGGATCGAATCAGCGTGACCTCCTTTATTCAATTTCCGCCGTGACGGTCTTCCCCTCAGGCCGTGAGGCTCCCCCACGTCCAGTACGTGGAGGAGGACTCGTCCATCTTCGCTCAGAGCGCCCCCTGGAACCTGCAGAGGCTCCTGCAGCCCTACGGGGGCATCTCCGAGAACGGCACCTACAGCCCCCCCAGTGAGTGTCCGGGCCTCCCACCCGCCGCCGTCTGACCGGCAGAGCTGCTGACCCCGTCCAGCTCTGGAGCACACATCTGGGGGAGCCTGTTTATTGTCCCGGTGCTTTGGCGACTAAAAACCCGCCCCCCCCCCGCAGATGACGGCGGGCTGGCCCAGGTGTATCTGATGGACGGCGGCGTGCAGAGCTCCCACAGGGAGGTGGAAGGACGGGTGCTGATCACGGACTTCGACAGCGTCCCCGAGGAGGACGGGGTCAGAGTTCACAGACAGGTTTGACCACCACACCACCGCCGCCGCCGTGCCCGGCTCCATACGGCCTCCTTACCTCCTGCTCCTCTTTCAGGCCAGCCAGTGCGACAGCCACGGCACGCACCTGGCCGGCGTCCTGACCGGGACGGACTCCGGGGTGGCGCCCGGCGCCGCGGTCAGCCTGGTGCGCGTGCTGAACTGTCAGGGGAAGGGCAGCGTGTCGGGAGCGCTGGCAGGTGGGCGCCGGCGGCCGACCGGTGATTAGAAAAACACACAGAAACCGACCCAGCTGACCGGATGTTCCTGCGTCCGCAGGGCTGGAGTACATCCGGGCGGCGCTGCTGGCCCGTCCGGCGGCCGGCGGCGTGGTGGTCCTGCTGCCCTTCGCCGGCGGCTCCAGCCGCTCGCTGAACGCGGCCTGCAGAGAGGCGGTGGCCGGCGGCGCCGTGCTGGTGGCCGCCGCCGGGAACTACAGGGACGACGCCTGCCGCTACTCGCCCGCCTCCGAGCCCGAGGTCAGGCCGGACGCCACGCCACGGCCCAGAGCGCCGCCATGACCGCCGTCCGCTGAGGCCTTCTGTGTGTGTGTGTGTGCAGGTCATCACAGTGGGGGCGGTCAACTCGGCCGACCAGCTCATGTCCCAGGGGGCCGGCGGGACCAACTTCGGCCGCTGCGTGGACCTGTTCGCGCCGGGCGACGACGTGGTCAGCGCCAGCAGCGACTGCAGCACCTGCTTCACCTCCCGCAGCGGCAGCTCGCAGGCCGCCGCGCACGCCGCCGGTACGCACACACACACACACACACCCACACAAACACACATACACCTACACCCACACACAGCCATCCACCCACCCACTCACACGCACACTTACCCACACACACACACAGCCACCTACACCCACACACAGCCACCCACCTACATACACACACACACACACACACACACACACAGCCATCCACCCACCCACTCACACTTACCCACACACAGCCACCTACACCCACGCACAGCCAGCCACCCACCTACATACACACACACACACACACACACACA